TGCATATTCTAGGAGCCCAGATGGTGTGCAGTGGTTCTCAACCTTCCTCATGCCGCCATTCATTCATACAGCTCCTCAGCTTGTGGTGACCCCCAACCATAACGTTATTTTCGTTGCTACTTCATGAGTGTACTTTTGCTACTGTGATGGATCGGGTGACCCCGTGAAAGAGATCACGACTCACAAGTTGAGAACCGCTGGTGTAGTAGTTTATGTGTTGGGCGGCTACCCACGAGGTCAGCAATTTGAAGCCACTAGCCATTCCTCGGGAGAAGGATGAGGCTTTCTACTCTCTTAAAGAGCTTTCAAACATAAACGTTTACAAAGTTCTAAGTGTTAAAGATTTCAGAAACCCACAGGAGCCGCTTTAGCCTGGTTCGGAAGCCACGTGGAGGCTGTGAGCTCCTTTTGCTTTACATGTCCCTGAGGGTCCAGGCCGCTTGGACTGTGCAGGGGAGAACCAGGCTCTGAGAGTTTATTTGAGAGAGACATGCACCAATTACACCCCGATTTCTCTGGCTGCAAAGCTGCTGCCGGGGTTAATGAGGTCAGCGATATGACCCTCCCACAGGAGAAGGCCTGATCAAAGCAGAAGCAAACATTTAGAACCACATTCTGGTCCACCCTGTTCCCTAGCTCCATCCCCTTGTGATTTATGTGGAGGTAGATGCATGACCCACATCAGACCTCAGGGCTTTCTTGTTTTACCTGGCTGTTTCCTATCTGACGCCACTTCTCTGAACCAGGCTTGGAATGAATATTTCACTTGTTGGAGAGGTGGGATAAATATCTTTAAAGGCTTCCTCTCCTCTCATTTGTGGTTCTAGGGTAGGACAGTCCGTGTTTTCTTTAAAACACCACATGGAATTTCACCATCTGAGGCTTATTAATCGGACTTCAAGTCAAACACAGTTACACCCAAGGGCTTGGATAGTTTCTCCTATAAAGGTCCATAGTCTGGTAATGTGAATTAGGGAGGTCAAGGATCTTAGCAGTGCATCTGTTGTAAGTGTTGAGGATCATTCATGGGCTGTTCTTTGAAAGAGTTCTTTGATACCCAAACAGAATGCAGTATTGAATCCTCTCACTGATGTGGCCCAGGATGGAATTTAAAAAACAAAACAAAACAAAAACCTCCCTGTCAGAGTCTTGGGGGAGGAAGGAACTCGGGAAAAATCACCTTTTTTCTTCTCTCGGGGTGGGGACCCTCCAGACAGAGCAGTCTGCCGGTTGTCAGTTGTCTCATCACCCTGTGGGGAAGGTGTGTTCCCTGTCACTCAGACAAACTCGCGTTTCATCAGCAAATGAACCTTCTCTGTCGATTAGAAACAAAACAAAGCCAACACCGTATCCAAAACTGGAGACTGTGCTTTTACCCACCAAGCATCCTTGTTGACATTCATACTCAGCAGGAGACTTGAGTGCTAGTCTAAATCCGCTCCTTGGACCTCAGCTGTCAGATGGCTCTTCCCTCTGTTTCAATGTGAAAAGAATATAGAACGTTTTCCGTGGCTTTTCAAATAGGATCTTTCTGGAAAGTTGGCAGAGAGTTACTTCCTGGCATGATTTCCCCCCCTCTTTTCCCCTCCACCCAAAGCTGTGAAAGGGTGGAGTACGCTTCCATGAAATTGCATGTTTCCCAAAAAGAATTCGCTGTTGTATTCTTATAATTGAATAATCACAAATAAGCCACAAAAAGTATACATTGGAAATAGAATTTCAGATGTTATTTTCACATTTAGTCTTTCTGTAGGACAGGATTATTATATTGGATAAAAGCGCCCTTTGAATAAAAGTGTACCAGGTAATTTGCAAAGGGTTACAAGCCTCTGTCCTTCCTGTGGGCTCATAGCCATGCCCACAGTCTCGTGTGGTCCTCAGTTTCTCCCTGACTGTTCTCAGTGATCTATCTGACGTCTCTCCGAAGCCATAACGGCTTTTTGATAATTTAGGACCTTCGTACTTGGCTAGACGGGAGAAAGCCAAAGCTTTCTACTCCTGTAAAGAGTAACAGTCCTGAAAACCCCCGGGGGCAGTTCTACCCTGCCCGAGAGTTGCGATGAGTCAGAAGCAACTCTGGCAGTGAGCTTGTAGTCTTTTGTTTTGTTTCCATTAGTCAGCTGCCTAACTGAAGGGCACTGTGGGCTAGGCATTGGGCTGCTAAGGTCTGTGTTTCAAACCCACCAGTCGCCCTGCAAGTGAAATATGAGACTGTCTGCTACAGTGAAGATGTATCATCTTAGAAGACTTAAGGAGCAATTCTACTCTGTCCCACTGGATCTCTGCCAATCAGGATCGACACAGTCGCCGTGAGTTTGACTTCCTTATCTAGGATTCCACAGGCACCAGCTCTCCTATCTAAGAACTGACTAGGTTACAGCAAAAGGATCAAAAGGATCTTCCCTAAAAGGCTCAGGGGTCACAGAGAGCAGCTCCTGGAGTCTCCCAGAGGGACAGCTACAGCGACTAAATGAGTGGACCCATTACTATCTATTGGAGAACTGTCCCAAAGGCACAAGAGGAATGCCGGAAGAAACCTGGCACTAACCTGGCAGTGACAAACGTGGCCGAAGGTGAGGAGTGAAGCCCTTGGCAGAAGAAGTGAAGAACACGGAGAGCAAACAGGTTTGCTATATGGTGTGAGAAGAAATCTCCCCAAGTCTGTTTTCTCTCCTAGTGCAGGATTTACGGAACGTTCTCCCAGGAGATGGATGATGAGTTAGTTAGTTTATTGTGCTAACCTGGCTGATAAACACATGTGGGATTAACTGAAAGTAGGGGGTGGGGTAAATGGCTCGGTGAGTTTCACCTTTCTAGTTCTCGGGTCTCTTGCTTTGTGATGGTTGGGCCAGGGTGAAGTTGCCTTGGCCAGTTCCCTTCTTTAGCTGCAGGGGCTGACTTCCTGCAAGGCATCCCTGAGGAGAAGCCACGTGGGCCTGCCCCGACGCAGCCCTGGGTGCTGGAGCAGCTGTGTGGAGACCCCTGCCAGCACTGAGATGCTTACACATTCTCTGACTCGGCTTTCCTCCTGCAGTCGGCATCGTAGTGTGTGTTTTGTGAGATGGAGGAGGACTTTGTGGATTGGTGTTGGACATATGGGTTAATGGGTTAATGTTGGACTTGTGGGTTTGGGCAGCACTGGGTTGGGATGTTTTCTTGATGCACACTTACCCTTTATATAAAACTCTCTCTTATACATGAGTTGCTGTGGATTTGGTTCTCTAAAGTACCCAGACTAATACAGATGAATTCATACCTTACATCATTAGGCCATATTTGAACATAAGAGTTAGTGAGTGATACATTTTAAATCAGGTTATAAAGAAAGCCTTGGTGATTTGCTGGGAATTGATGAGGCACATCATTCGTGATGCCAACGTGCTCACGTAAAGCATTTTTATTGGCGCTCATGGGCTGCTGGGTGGAACCATAGAACCTGAGTTGCTGACATGAGCCACGAGCGGACTTGCTTTGGGCTCCCTATTCCCCTGGGAGGGGGAGACACGCAGGCAAACAGCGGGGACTTTGATCCTCATATCAAATGAGGACCACCTTTCTGTTATGTTAACTTACCTTGGGTGAAGCATTGGAAAATAAGCTTGATTGGGGTCCCTGACTGTAGTGAAGGGTGTTGGGGACGTGTGCGTATGTGGAGGGTGCATACGATTTCGATATAGCTGCATATTTTACTGGAGCAACCTGGAATTCCATATATTTTTATTTTACGCATCATGTTTCTTTACAATCATATACAATCACTGCTGCTAAAGGCTTTCATTTATTCCTGGCTTTTTCCTAAAAATTAAGGAACGAGTTGTGATTTCTCCATTTCTTGTCACCACGTATATTGTCAGAAACTCCTTCGATGGGCGGATAGAGTGCCTTGGAAATTGAAATAGACTGGAGTCTTTGGTGATAAACAAGTTCATTTCAGACAAACACAAAAAGAAGTGCCTTGAATTCGATAAGGGTTTTTCGTGATCCCACCTAGTGCTTCCTCCTTACTGGTTTGTGCACGTTCAGACCCAGAAGAGTTGCCATTTTGCTGCCACCAGAATACTTTATTTTTTTGGTGTGGTAAACTTATAACAAAACACTTGTCATTTCAGCATGTTGCAGATACAATTTAGTGGTATCGATTCCATTAATCATGTGCAATGATCACCACCGCTCATTTCTGAGTTTTCTCATCCCTGTTCACAAACTCAATGCCCTTTAGGCAATTACTCACACCCGTCTGTCCTTGGGCAGAGGAGGCTTTAAGAGTCTGGTCAATGAGAGCCGAGTCTTGGAATTGGGAGTCTGGGTAAGGAGATTTCGAAATGTTTCGGTAATCCTGAAAGCATGATTTTACTGGCAGGGAAACAATGCACAGTGTTAGCTTGTGCACACCGTGGTCTAGTCTGAGGCTCGATGTGCATGGGCACATTCTTTCGTCTGAACTTTGCCGGTTTGAAAATGTACTTGAGGTTGAAAAGTTCAGTATTGCATTAGATGAACTTTTTATGAGTCGTAGACATGTGGAGTGAAGCCTGGCTCAGGGAAGTTTGATTCTACCCTCTAGCAGAATTCCAAGTCATTTAGACCATTGGGGATCTACCGCACCCAGCATCTGAATTACAAAGATGATTGTGCTTCGAGAATTTATTCAGGACCACGCATTCTTGGATGTTGCTCAGGCAGCCACTTTGGGGGTGTTCAGATGTAGAAGAGCATGTTTGTTCTCCATCTCTGCCCTTAATGGTAGTTCAGCCTGCTGCCCTCCAGATAAATGATGTGATGAGCATGTGTTCAAACTGAGCATGAGCAGGATGTAGCACCTGGCAAGTCAAACAAAGACCAGAGGCCATTTTGTCATTTTCCACAGCAGTGACCTTTGTCAGCACCGCCCATGTGCCCTGCTGTGGACACAGGGTTCTCCAGGTTGAGGCAGCTGTGGTGTGGGAATCTAGCCAAGTATGCATTTTTAAGATTGTGTGTTCCTCTGTGCCCATGAACAGATATCAGTATTACCTGCAAGTCAAAAAAGACGTGCTTGAAGGGCGGCTGCGGTGCACATTGGAGCAGGTGATTCGGCTAGCCGGCTTAGCTGTGCAAGGTAAGGTGTGGTTGTGACCACTGTGTGTACTTTTAAGATCTATTTGATTGGAGTAGCCCTTTTTATTGTGCAAATATATATGTGACAGAGTGTTGACCATTTCAATTTCATTTTGCATGCCAAAAACATTCAGTGATATCGACATATATATTATGCTGTTCAACTGTCACCACTTCCATTTTTTCCCCCATCACTGTGAACAGAAGCTCAGTGTCCCCTAAGCAATGAGTCTCCCCTTCCTGCCCAACCCTCCAAACTCTAAAACCAAACTCACTGCCCTCGAGTGCATGCTGACCCGATAGGACAGGTTAGAACTGCCCCATGACTTTGAGACTGGAACTATTTACAGGAGGAGAAAGCCCCATCTTTCTCCCGCAGAGCAGCTGGTGGTTTTGAAACGCTGACTTTTAGCTCTCCGCCGAATGCATCAGCACTACACCACCAGGACTCCTGCCCAGCCTTAGTAAGCCCTAATAAAGGTTGGTCTTTCTAGATTTGCCAGTCCCACTATTTTCCTGTCGGTGGGATTTAATAATATTTAGCTTGTGCAACTGACTCATTTCACACAGCACCATGTATCCAAGGTTCATCAAGTGGTATGCAGCATGTACCGTTTCTTAGAGTGGTCCTCTTCCTTTCAAAGTGGGAAGAACGTTGATTTTTCTGGTGACCGAATAGTGCTTGTGTCTAAGTTGTTTGAAACCTGCCACTGCTGGGGCCATTTCTGTTTTATTTGATTTTATAGCACCTTTTATCCTGCCTTTAATTAAAGCTGCATTTCAGGACTTTTGGAAAACACCACCCCCACCACCCCGGCCCCCCTGAATTAGCCTATGTAGAATGTGGTCATATTCTGTAGCTGAATGCTGTAATTATATTACGGTTCCAACAGTTTCAAGGGAGATGGCTTTAAACATCATGGTATACTTTAATGGTAGTCAAGAGATAAGGTAAACATGCCTAGTTGTGATGTGTAATCACAGGTCCTGTATTAAAGTTATCTTTCAATCTGCCCTATTTGATTGATCAGTCAGCTCCACAGTTTTCTCTAAATTGTTATGTGTAGCTATATCTATAACCAGTTGAGTCTCAATATTCACAGAATTTGCGTTCTATGAAGTCACATGAATACTGAATTAGGGAATTCTGAGCCATTGCTTATATAGGAAAGGCAGGGCTGGGTACCTGCAAAACTCTGGACACATTTTTGTCAACTGTTCAGTCCAGAACCTTGTTTCATGCGAGCGCCTGCGTATGTTCTTGTGTAGTATATCTTGTTCATTCATTAACCTCAAACTAACAGCCAACAGTGCGGTAACTCATGCCTGAATGAAGTTTACCTCCCACACATGCGAGGGGGTTTTAAACACTTTGTGGAAAAATTCATTACCTTCTATTTCTGTTTTCTCATGAACTTTTTGAAGCCCTCTCATACTTCTCTGTAAGGAAGACCACACTCTTTCTTCCACTTAGGAGCGCGAACCAGCACATCAGCATGCTGCTTTGGGCTGTGCCAAACAGGAACATTACCAAAAAAAGAAAAGGGGTATAAAAATGGGAAAGCACGACACCACAATAAAATTGACCATGCAAAAGACACTTGTCTATGTACCACCTCGGTGGACCGCAGCTGGGAAAAGTGTGTGGCGAGTGACTCCGATTTTTGACTGTTTTTTGCATGTCCACAGGGGCCCTGGTGGCGCTGTGGATTCGGTGTTGGTCTGCTAACCACAAGGCCTGAGAAGAGAGAGGAGGCTGCCTGTTCCCGTGAAGATTTCATCTCGGAAATCCTCTTTAAAGTCATTATGAGTCAGAACTGACTCCATGACAGTGGGTTTGTTTGGGGTGCTTGTCCACAAAAAACTACAAAAGCATTGGGAGTACAGAATTAGTAAATGTACAAATACATTTTAGCAAGTTGACAATTTATAAAAAATCTAAATTCATGAATAACAAAGATTGACTGTATTTCATACAGTACTTTTTAATTGAATAGTGACAATGAGCTTACCAAGCGCGCGCGCACACACACACACACACACACACACACACACACACACACACACACCCTCATTGCCGCTGAGTCAAGGCTGACTCATTGTGCTATAAGAGGACAAGAAAAAACAGCCCCCATGGGTTTCCGAGACTGCGTTCTTCACAGGCATAGGAAGTCTCATTTCTCACCCTCGGAAGAGCTGGTAGTTTCAAACTGTGGACCTTGTGGTTAGCAGCCCAACACAAAACCACTCTGCCAGCAGGACTCTTAAGTCACCTTTAGCCCTCTTGAAAACAAGAAGACCGCCGGTGCCATACTTTTTCAGAAGGAGCCTGTTTCCCTTTCAGTCACTATTTTCTTTAAACATGGTCACTATGCCAGTGTAAACTGTCAGCAGCTGTTGTTTAAGAAGCTGCAGGTCCCAACGGAGCCACAAGATTGAGTGCTGCACGTACGGTGACACAATACACCAGCAGTGTGGCAAAGCAGGTCCTCATGGAGCCTCAAGCTCTAGCGATGCATGGCAAGGCAACACAATCCACGGGTTAGCTCTGCCCACAGGTAGTGCAGCATACAGTTGAAGCAAGTGATTAGCTCAGGCAGCAGCATGCTGGTCCAATCACCCAGGGAGAAAGAGAGGAAGAAGTAGCCTCATAGAGACATTTATCTCAGTTGCCTTCCAATCAAGCTGCGACCTGATTAAATTCCTCCCATATTTTGTCATGGGAGCCTAGCTGGCATAATAAACCTAACGATCACACTTTGCAAAAAAAGAGAAAAAAGCTGTGAACTCAACCTCCTGCCTCAAACTTTGAACTGAAATGGAACCATTTGGCCTCTTAAGTGTCTGGTAAGGCAGCCTGTCTTTGATGGTGCCACTCCGGGGTATTAGCTGCTTGGTGATTTCTGGTGGACATAATGCTTCCAGGATTGTGAGCTGCTGATGTTACCCTGGGGATGAAAATGGGCAAAAGTGTTGTGTCACAACTGCCAACATAGAGAAAGAAAGGACAGACATCAAGGGCCGTTTCGCGAGAACCATCAGCAGGTGCTTTGTTGGAAGAGTTGAGAAGACTCCTTTAATAGAAAGAAGCACGGGATGATTTAGCACGCCCTTCTTCTTCCAGTCCAGCCTGTTCCCTTTAAAATACAAGCTTATCCCATCCATTCAGCAGGATGAGAGCTCTCAGGATGACTAATGGGTGAACTTACTCTGGTCTCCTGTGTCATTGGATTCCTGACGCCAGCTGTTTAGTGAGACCTCCCTTAGCTATCATAGTTTTAAATGATTTTCCTGAGAACCCTCACTGGGCAATTAGAAACGCATAACACCAGAGATACAAGTTGTGATAAAATACGATAACTGATGATTAAACTTGAGAGCAGGCTGAGCAAGTGATTGTTTCTGCGCTTGACTATTGCACCTAATTGATAATGGTTATCTGCAGAGGGTGTAGGTGGGTTTTCCCCCTTTCAACAACCTCTCTGTGGGTGTTTCCCCTTCCACTGTCTCGGCAACTTTAAAGATTCCTGCATCCAATACTACCTGGTGCTAACTCTTTTACCTGAAATTAGAATGTCATGCTGGTTTGATTTCCATGAGAGGGGATGGAATTACAAGCACGACATTGATGTATTGATGCCACAGGCTGGAAGCATTCACTTTGAGCACATGTTGAAGCATAACCATTGTGAGGGAAAAACGGGAGAAAACAATTTGGGGCATCTTGCAACATGTGAGGTTGTTCAGGAAGGTGAAAAGAGTTTTGAGGTGGCTTGCCAAGGGTGATTTGCAGAGGGAATTTCCAGCTGCAGATAAATGAAAAGACGTAGATGGGTTTTGCTCTTCTGTTCTCCAAATAACCTTGAGTTAAAACAGAAAACGGCCCCTTGGCAGTTTTTCCTTAAGATGTGGCTAGATGCATATTTACCCAACAGTTAAATGTAGGTTCATTTAAAAATGTACAATAACCTAATAGGAATTGCTTTCAAATTCCCCCATTCTCCCCAGAAGTGCTGCCAATGTGGATATTTATGGCATCGCTGAGTAACAGGAGTAACTGGACGGAACCCATCTGTGCACTGTTTCTACCTCATAACCATGCAGACCTTGGGTCCGGAGGGAGTGATAAGCGTGCCTTGGTCTAGTCCATCTTCAATTTCATGTAATAAAAACTTTCCCATTCTCTTTCCCCCACCCTTTTCCTCAGCTGATTTTGGAGATTATAATCAGTTTGACTCTCAAGATTTCCTCAGAGAATATGTACTGTTTCCTATGGTAAGTGGAATTTCCTTTTTCTTAATTAGTTTTCTACAGTCTTCGAGTTTCTCTCGCTCTCTTCCCTTTGAATACCTCAGAGGGTTTACACACAGAATGCCCTGCAGAGGAAAAGCCAGTCACTGGAAAAGTAGGAGTGACACTATATATAAAACATGAAGAAGGTGGAGGTGTCTCCAAGGATTCTCCTGCCCCCTGTCCCCGCTGTGCGCCAGTCACCCTCCCTCCTACTGGCTCCCATCCTTCAGAACACATGGGCTCATTCCCACCTGGGCCCTTTGTACGCTCTTCCTCTGCACGGAATGGTGGAATGCCCTGCCCTGTCATCCCATGCTGGGATCTTTCTTGTCATTTGGGTCTCAATTCAAACATCCCCTTCTCAGAAGGGCCATCCTCTCTGTTTGATCTCCTCTCATGGGTGTGCATTTCTCCCCCTTTGTTGTCATTGTTAATCGTCAGCTGGAATGTCAGTTCTGTGGTCTTCAAGCCAGGACCATGTCTGTCGCGTCCACTGTTGTCTGGCACAGCCTATGTGCTCATAAAAGCTCATTGGATGAACTTAAAAAATACAAATATCCCTTTCGGGGTTAAACCAAGGGTGAGTCTCTATGTTTTAATCCCCAGGGAATTTTATTTGGCCAACTGGTGGTTTTTATTTGTTTGTTTCTTTTGTGGGTGGCTTCAAAGAAATGAGAAGAATTTTAAGGGCGTGATATTTGGCTTTATTGTTGTTGTTGTGAGTTGATCATGACTCAAGGTGACCCCATGGGTGGGAGTAGTGCTGCTCCAGAGGGCTTTTGGAAGTAGATCTCTAGGCTTGGCTCCCAAGTCACCTTTAGATGGGTTTGAACCCCCACCCTTTCAGTGAGTAGGTCAGCACTTAACCATGGGTGCCACCTTGGACTCTGTTTTTATCATTAGACACATAAAATGTGATATTTAGAAAGAAGTGGAACCAGTCCAACGTTCTAGCATTGAGTTTAGAAATTGGGATCCTTCACCATCGTTCTGACCTTCTGCTTTGCCCAAAGCACTGACCTGGGTACTCCTGGAGGGCAGAGAGATTAGGTTATATAATCAGTGGTACTTGTTCTCAAAGAGACTATACAGTGTGGCTAGGTAAGTAAGAAAATTTCAAAACCAGAAAGCAAGGCCAAGTGCAATGAAGAAGTCAGGACTTTGTGTGGGCAGAAGTCACATGTGCTTTGGAGGTTAGTGGAGCCATGAAGCCTAAGTGGCATAGCTCCATCTTAAAGAACAGACATGCTGAAATGGTGGGGAGTGGGGGAAGGAGGTGGACAGTGAGAAGAGGCAAGGTACCAGGGGTGCTTGGGAAAGAGCTAGCTTGGACAGGTTGACTATCTCAGGGTTGTCAGAGGGACTTAGAGGTAGATGTAACTGAAAATACCTGAGCTAGAATACATGAGTTTCTTCTTGGATGATAGTAGTGAAACTCTTTTTAAACAATTTTCTTTTTTTTAAAAACAATTTTCTTAGCACTTCATCCACATGTCATACAATTCAAGAATTTAATCATATCCAGAAGAGTTGTACAGTCGTCACCTCTGTCAATTCTAGAACACATTCTTGTACTTCTTGTTATTCATGGAATTATTTTTTTTTAAATATGGCCAAAATGTACACAGCAAAACATTTTCCAATTCAACAACTTCTACATGTATAATTCAATGCTGTTGATTATATTCTTCCTGTTGCACAATCATTATTAATATCCTTTTCCAAATTATTCAGCCACCATTAACATAAACTCAATGCCCCTAAGCAAAAACTCTTCCTCCTTCACCCATGGTAACCATTGCTCAAGGTTGACTTCTTTTTTTTTTTTAATCATTTTTTGGGGGGCTCGTACAACTCTTATCACAATCCATCCATTCATCCATTGTGTCAAGCACATTTGTACATTTGTTG